ACTAGATGACCTCCAAGGTCCCTTCCAACTTTACTACTACTACTACTACTACTACTACTACTACTACTACTACTACTACTATTATTATTATCGATCATCGCACAGTCAGCCAGATGTTCAGACTGGATTTGGCATTTTGTCTACCTATCGAGTCCTTACCCAGGACCTGGGATAGGCAGATGTGGATGTTTGATGGTATTACAGATATCGTCGCAGGATGGAAGCAGTTCCTAATAAGGCCGCCTTTTGCAATTGACTAATAGCGAATTTGTCAATGCCAATGGTGTTCAAGTGGTGCTCCAGTTGTTTTGGGATTGCACCCAAGGAGCTATGACTATTGGTACTACCCTTGCTTGCTTTTGCCACAGTCTTTCTATTTCTATTTGTAGGTCTTTGTATTTTGTTATCTTCTCCAGTTCTTTCTCTTCTATTCTGCTGTCTCCAGGCACTGCCACGTCCACTATCCAGACTTTTTTGTCTTTCTTATCGACAATTGTTAAGTCTGGGGTGTTATGTTGCAGGTGCTTGTCTGTTTGAATTCTGAAGTCCCAGAGCAGTTTAATTTTATCATTTTCTATGACTTTCTCTATTTTATGATCCCACCAGTTTTTGCTTACAGGCAAATGATATTTTTTGCAGATCTTCCAATGCACCATTGTTGCTACTTTGTCATGCCGCTGCTTGTAATCAGTTTGTGCAATCTTCTTGCAACAGCTTACCAAGTGGTCCACTGTTTCTTCAGCTTCTTTGCATAGGCGGCACTTACTGTCTGTTGCTGTCTTCTCAATTTTGACTTTGTATGCATTTGTCCTTAAGGCTTGGTCTTGTGCAGCCAGAATTAGTCCCTCGGTCTCTTTCTTCAATTTTCCTCCTCTTAGCCATTGCCAGGTTTTATTATGACAGCCATTTGTCCAAAATGGTATAGGGTTTCCTGCCTGAGCAGGGGGGTGGACTAGATGACCTCCAAGGTCCCTTCCAACTTTACTACTACCACTACTACTACTACTACTACTACTACTACTACTACTATTATTATTATTATTATTATTATTATCACACCTGATGAATCTGAAAAAGTTTGAGGAAGGGGGATGTGGGATCAAAATTTTATGCAGGACTAAGGAACTTATTCCTAAAAACAGTTTGGAAGCAAAAAATGCCATCATGTTGTATACATTAACTTGTTTTAAGAACTAGAGCACCTAGACTGCCAAAATAACTCACTGTTATCTTAAAGAGATGAGTCACATCCTTTTGCTGATGTGTATTTAAATCTGAAATTTTTAAATATTTGGAACATGAACCCATTGTCAATGCTGCAAATATTGTATATTTTTGCTTTTGACAATATGCAGAATTGTCTGGTAATTATGGGGTTAATACAGAGCAGAAGAGGGGTCGGGGGTAAAGCCCCGGAAAGAAAGAGGAAGAAAACATTATGTAACAACTCAAATTGATCCTAGATAATCAAGATCTGGTGTCTTGCATTCAAAGGTAAAGTATGTCTTAATGCATATCATATAGAGACAGCCTGTTTATTTGATCACTAATGTCTTATTTATAATATAAATTGCATCAGATACATTTTATACAACCAGATGCAATGATAGGTGATTTAATTATTAGCAATATTATCTGTTTTTTTCAGAGTTGTATCTGCTTTTGAAGAAGGACTGTGCCAGTCCTTCAGAAACCAGGAAAAGTGCAGGTGTGTGAGCTGGCATCTCTTTCGTGGATTAGGTCCTCCTTCTTGGTTGATTTCAATAATATTAATAATATTAATATTAACCCTAGATTGCCTGATTGCCAATGACTGCGCTGCTCTCAACTATGAAAACAAAGACAATACAACCAAGAAAAGAAAGAAAGAACAATGAAAGAGAGGAAAATCAACAGACTGGATTTGGTTTGGGGGAAGCCCCCCCAAACCAAAAAAGATACTTCTAAGCAGTTTCCTTCATTATTCCTCACCTACGGAAAGACATCTTGCCAAACTAAAGCAATTACAGATAGTCCTTGACTTACGACCACAACTGAGCCCAAAATTTATGTTGTTAAGTGAGTTTTGCCCCATTTTGTGACTTTTCTCGCCACACTTGTTAAGTGAATCATTGCAGTTATTAAGTTAGTCGCCTGGTTGATAGCTGAATCTGGCTTCCCCGTCGACTTTGCTTGTCAGAAGGTTGCAAAAGGGAATCACTTGACCCCGGGACATTGCAACCGTCATAAATATGAACCAGTTCCCAAGCATCTGAATTTTGATCAAATGACCATGGGGATACTGCAACGGTCATGTGAAAAATTGTCATGTCATTTTTTTCAGTGCTGTGGTAACTTTGAACGGTCACTAAATGAACTGTTGTAAATCGGGGACAACCATCATGAGAGAAATATTCTGAGAATTTCTAGGGAGGAGGTGTCTTGACCCTCTTCCTCCCCACCAAAATATCTAAACTTTGCTGTCTTTGAGATACAGTCCCTCCCTCTTGGGAATCCAGCCTACATTCCACCACACTCCTTCACTAAAGACCTGAGGGAAGAGTTCCTCAAAACACCAGCAGGGTGGGGCCATGGGGAACCTTATTCTGTAGGTGCTGCTACAGAGGCGGCATACTTCCAGGGTCCTGAAAAACGGCATGGTTTAACTGAAGGAACCCAGACTGTGCCAGCATTGCCAGATCAAATCAGCCAGGCAGATAGTATGAGCTGTAAAACTGAGCTGTGAAACATAACAGGGCCAACATGGACCCTTTTTTCCCCCTATTAACAGTTATTTTAGGGCAGGGGTAGGCAACCTTGGCTCTTTTATGACTCGTGGACTTCAACTCCCAGAATTCCTGAGCCAGCCTCCAGAATGTCACAATATTCCCTGCTTTTCAGCTGAATCAAAAGGATTCAATCTACCTGTAAGACTTAGTTAATCCTCAATAGGATTAGAACCGAACATGGCAGGTGCGCTAATCTCCTCCATAAATGAGGAAAGCTCTGCTATTCAAAATGGAGCTGTGAAGCTCCAAAGCAGACAATACAACATATTGTAGAACAGTGCCCTCTGAGCGCATATCAGGGAAGCCCCAGAGACTATACCAGGGGTAGGTAACCTTGGCTCTTTTATGACTTGTGGACTTCAACTCCCAGAATTTCTGAGTCAGCCATGCTGGCTCAGGAATTCTGGGAGTTGAAGTCCACGGGTCATAAAAGAGCCAAGGTTGCCTACCCCTGTTTTAGGGCATGAGTTCTTCTGATGGTCAAAATCTTCTTCGCTGGCAGGCTATTTAATTTGTTCAGGCTTGACAGGAATCATACCTTTCAGTTATGGTGACAATGTTATTATCTGGGATGAGAGTAGCTCAGGGTAGCAGGCCATACTGGTTGGAAAATCTGGAAGCTATTGGCTCAGCACCTCTGGAAGGCTTTTTTTTTCCTGACACAAAGCATTAGTCCCCACACAATATGGAATGCAGCTCCACTTGGGGATGTCAATTTTTTTTGTTTGTTTGTTTCTTTCTTTAAATCAACAGAAGGACTGTGATGTTTGAATGGTACATCCATGCAGTTTTCCTGCCACAGGAAAGGCATGGCTTGCCCAGATGGTTTTTCCCACTTCCAAGAAATCTCAGGTTTCCCCAACCAAAGGGACTGCTGGATACATTCTGGGATAAGTCCTGCTAGACGTTACTGCCCCCTGCTGAGGATCTCAACGCCTTCCTTGGTGTTGTCGGACCTGTATACAGTATAAAGATATAGTTGACATTTAATGACCTGGAAATTCTCTGTGAATTCTGTGGTTAAAAAGCAAGCGGGGGGGGGGGGACACCCAGCAAAGTCCTAAGTCACAAAAATCTTTTTGGGCAGCAGGAACACAAAGCGACTGGCTCTATGTTTCCTTTTTTTTCCTCATGTAAGGAAAAATGCAGGGTCAGTTTTTAATAATAATAATAATAAAAAAAATAGGCTCCTTGGGTGCAATTCCAAAACAACTGGAGCACCACTTGAACACCATTGGCATTGACAAATTCGCTATTAGTCAATTGCAAAAGGCGGCCTTACTAGGAACTGCTTCCATCCTGCGACGATATCTGTAATACCATCAAACATTCACATCTGCCTATCCCAGGTCCTGGGTAAGGACTTGATAAGTAGACAAAATGCCAAATCCAGTCTGAACATCTGGCTGACTGTGCAATGATCCATAATAATAATAATAAAGTTGGAAGGGACCTTGGAGGTCATCTAGTCCAACCCCCTGCTCAGGCAGGAAACCCTATACCATTTCAGACAAATGGCTCTCCAGTCTCTTCTTAAACACTTCCAGTGTTGGAGCAAAGTATGGTGCTTCTGGAGAGAACAACAGAGATAAAATCAAGTATGGAAAGTCTATGGGTTCTTTTAGATCCTTGTATTTATACATTTATTTTGCTACTCCATATTATTATTAATAATAATAATAATAGTAAAATTGGAAGGGACCCTGAAGGTCATCTAGTCCAACCGCTTGCTCAGGCAGGTAACCCTATACCATTTCGGACAAATGGCTGTCCAGTCTCTTCTTAAAAACTTCCAGTGTTGGAGCATTCACAGCTTCTGGAGGCAGGTTGTTCCACAGGCTAATTGTTCTAACTGTCAGGAAGTTTCTCCTTAGTTCTAGGTTGCTTCTCTCCTTGATTAGTTACCAAGGAGAGAAGCAACCTACCAAGTTACCGTTGCTTCTTGTCCTCTTCGTTAAACTAGACATACACAATTCCAGCAGCCGTTCCTTATCTGTTTTAGCCTCCAGTCCCCTAATCATCTTAGCTGCTCTTCTCTGTACTCTTTCTAGAGTCTCAGCATCATTTTTACATCGTGGTGACCAAAACTGGATGCAGTATTCCAAGTGTGGCCTTACCAAGGCATTGTAAAGTGGTTTTGATCTGGCGCGATCCTGGGATGGGGAGGCTATTTTTTTTAGCGAACGGATTCCACAATTCAGCAGCGCATAGGCTTCACGTCACGGGGTCCCTCAAGGAGGGCTCTCCCTCCGAAGTAGGTGACGTCACTAGAACCAAGGCGGGCCTGGGAATTCTAGGGAAGCCCTCTCGCTCCTGGGAGGGGCCGAGGAGGAACGCCGCGGTTGTGACGTCACGGGAGGGCGTGCGGATTCCGGGGAAAGCCCCACCCGCAGCTGGGCGTTCCTTCCAGGCGGCGGGAGAAGCTCTTTTTCCCCCCCGCCATGGCTGCTTTGCAGTTCCTGCTGATGATCCCGGCCCTGGGCAATTTCCTTTTCACCTTCGGGACCGGCGTGGAGCTGATCCGTTTTATTTCCTACCGTGCCATCTTTTTGCAGCTGCCCGCGGGGGCTGCGTCTCCTCCCCACGTGACTCCAGGTAAGAAGGGCAGATCCTGTAGCAGGACCTCCGATTTGGAGTGCGGCGTCGGGAAATGTGGAGGGATTTTTGAGTTGATGACTTGATCCTCCCCGATCGAAAGGCTTCCCGTGGGAGAACGAGTAATCGATACCTTTTAGATGTACTTAAAATGGGGAATGAATACAAGAGCGCCTCGGTTAGCGCCAAGGAGATCTCCATACTGCAACTACCCTGCGTGCTCTGTTGCAGCGTTTCGAGCTGCAGCTTGCTTTTTGCCCAGAGGCCCTTTGAAAACATGGCAAGACTGTAAATAGAAATGAGTGAATGCTCCTCCGTGCTGCCAAACATTTATGGCTGGGCACGCACACCCTGCGTGACTTTGATTTGATTTACAGTAATGGATTGCTTGAGCGCACTTATCAATGGCTGAATTCTGACGGTATAATAAACCCAAACAAAAAAATCCACATCATGACTTAGACTGTTGTGTGAATCCAATCAGAGGAGTGTATTGAAGAAAATCACTGCCAAATCATAGCCCTATAAATTATTGGAAGCAGTCGGAGTGTCATTCAGCTGTCCTTTGCTAGGAACGTTTGGTTCTTGCTTCCCCCTGAATAGCTGCTAGGTCAAAATTTTGCAGTAATATAGAGGCCATCTTTGGCAGAATTCCGCTTCTGTATATCTCTTAAAGATCTGGGCATTTGATCAAGGATTAAGGCTGATTTTGAGGAGATAGTTTCAGTCCGCACTCAATCCCAGAAAGCCATTCCTATCCCTAAGGCTTGTACATAATTTATATGTTCATCAAAGTGAAAAATTTCCCTTCTTTTACTGCCTTTGGATTGCAAACATTACAGTCCTTTTATGCAAGGAATCAATATTCAGAATGCTGAGTGAGCTGTGCCCATCAGATTTTGAAGTGCAACTTGGAAAATATAAGGGGGGGGGAACCAAATTTCTAAATGCCAGTGTCATTCTTCTTGCATTCCCAGCACTTCTTCAGACTGGGTTGGACAGACTATGGACTGCCTGAGACTTCAGGATTTCATTTTGTAGTCCCAAAGCAACCCTCTTTGCTAGCTGTAGATGTAATATTTTTAATGCAGGGGTTCCCCGAGACCTGAAAATTATTTCAAGGGTTCCTCTAGGACAGTGGTTGCGAACCTTTTAGAGACCGAGTGCCCAAAAACTGGCTCCACCCCCTGCCCCGCCCCCACTCCGCCTGCCCGCAGGGCCACTCATCACCTCCAGGGCCCGCTGCAGATTGCCCAGCAGCGCCATGGCGGCCACGCCCTCTGCCCGTGCCTAGCGGCATCAACTGTGCATGATGGGGCATGAGGGCAGAGTCTTGTCTACTCTGTCTGGCTACCATGTCCTTGGCTGCACTGCTCCGCATGGGCCACACTTGGGAGCAACTCCAGGGGGGCTGCTGGTGAGGAGAGGGTCACGGGGGAGGCAAGGCTGGGGCAATGGCACGTGTGCCCACAGAGAGGGCTCCAAGTGCCACCTCTGGCAGTCGTGCCATAGGGCAGTAGTCTCCAATCTTTTTGGCTCAGTGGACCAGCAAAGGCAGCGGCAATGGTGGGATGGAGGGGGATGATTTTGCACGTGCACCATTTTTACAAATGCAACTTCATACGTGTGCACTCATCCATCACTTCCACAGCCCTGGTCTGAACGGGCTGCCACCCTGCACTCACCTGCACACCAGGGCTTGGAGACCCCTGCTCTAGGGCATTGCTCATCAATCTCAGCAACTTTAAGTAGGGTGAGCTTCAACTTCCCAGCTGGCTGGGGAATTCTGGGAGTTGAAGTCCACTCATCTTAAAGATGCTGAGATTTACAAACACTGCTCTCGGGTGAAAAGGTTGAGAAAGGTTGATGTAAACCAGGGGTTTAAAACTCGCCACGTCACGTGACGTGTTGCAACCTATCGTGATTTTATTTTCCATTGCCAGCAATGGGGTGGGCACGGTTTCGCCATGATGCATCCAGCTCGCAGGCCGGCAGTTTGACACCCCTGATGTAAACCATCATGGTAATAATATTCTGCTGTAAACAGGGCGCAAGATTACTCAATTTTTCTCTTGCAGATGGCACCTCGAATTCTCAATGGAAAACTGCCCTAAGGGATCCCAAGATTCTGCACTCGCTAACAGCGGATGCGGGCCTGATCATCCTTTTTATCCTGCAGCACAGCCTTATGGCTTCTGACCGGGTCAAACACTGGACTTCCAACTGTTTTGGGGTCTTGCAGAGAACAGTCTATGTTTTTTGCACAGACTTAACTCTTCAGGTAGGAATACCGATTTAGAGTATAAAGTGGGAAGGTTGTACAGGTACTGGTCGACTTACGAACGGTTGTTTAATGACAAATTGAAGTTACAGTGGATTCAAAAAAGGTTGTGCCCTTTCCTTGAAGTTACAGTTGCTGCACCACCCTCACAGCCATGTGATCACATTTTAGGTGCTTGGAAACCAGCTTACATTTATAACTGGTTGCAGCATCCCATGATCACTTGATTGTTTTTTGTGGTTTTTTGTTTTCTGGTCATTTTCTGACAAAAACACCCATTGGATAAAGTAGATTCAGACTCACGATGATGTAATTTGCTTAACAGTGACTCGCTTGACCACAGTCGCAAAATCGAGTCCAGTCACATGGTGAATCAACTTAACAACTGCAATGACTTGACACCAAAATTCCAGTCTCAATTGTGGTCACAACTCAAGGACTACCTGTAAGAGCTTGAGCTCCTTCATTGTTCGTGACGTTGCAAAATGCAGTTGAGTTTCTTTCTCAGCTAGGAGAAGGGGGCATTAAAAAAAAAAAAAGATAATAATGAAGACTAGAATTTTAACTTGCATTTATATTTGCATTCTTTTGTAAAACACAACTTGCTTTAAGAAGTTGTGGGTGCTCCAACACTGGAGGTTTTTAAGGAGAGATGGGCTTTGTCTGCTGTCTGAGCAGGGGGTTGGACTAGAAGACCTCCAAGGTCCCTTCCAACTCTGTTATTCTGATTCATACCCTGCATGACCTCACATGTAGCCACGTTAAATATCGTTGCAGTGTCTGCTAGTAATGTAATTTTTTTTCCTTTTAACGTAGTTGCTGATGAGGTATTGGCAGCCAGTGCTGGAGGGCCCCATGCTCTGGAATACGAGTACTGAGCCATGGACCACTTGGGTTCCACTCACCTGCTTTATCCTCCATTTCATCTCCTGGCTAATCATCTTTAGCATCATCCTCATCTTTGACTATGCAGAACTGATGGGAGTCAAACAGGTACTTGTGCTTTATTTTTCCCCTTCATGTGTCTCCCTTTGGTGAGCAAGGCTGTAGAGAGGAATAATGCAATTTGAGAAATAAAACTATGGTGAGCCCAGCCTCTGATGAGCCCCCTTTTATCCTCCGGGGGGGGGGGAGTCAATTGTTCTTTCAAGCATCACTTTATTTATTTAATGAAATTTAGAAGCAGCCTGTTCCAGATGCCTCTGAGTGGCTCACTCTTAAAAAAAATGGGAACGATTAAAAAAATAAATGGATTGTGCTCATCCAGAAGACAGGCTCTCTGCAACAGACAATGCACCCCGATAGAAGAGAATATTTGTAACTAAGGGTTGAACTGGGGTGCTCTCTGAGCTTGGTTGTTTTCTGGCAGACAATCAAACAGTATACAACTAAGCAAGGAATTACCAAGAAGGAAACACTCCCACCAGTGGTGGCAAACCTTTTAGAGTCCGAGTGCCCAAACTGCAGCCCAAAACCCACTTATGTATCGCCAGGTGGACGTGGCCCACTGGGTGGGCATGGCTGTGATGGTCATAGCAGACTGGGTGGGTGTGACCAAGGTAGGCGTGATCACCTTGATGTTGCTCGTGAGGAGGGACACCTGTGGGGGCTGGGCAGGGTTGGGGGAGATCCAGGTGGATCTGGCAGGTGAGGCGGTGGGCAGGAGGCTCGTCCTACAGGGGGAGGCAGGGTGGGGGTGCCATTGTCACAGGGCAAGGCAAGGCAGAGGCCAGGGCAGCTGCTGCCTGACACCATCGACCCCCATACACAGAGGCTAGCCAGCACATGGGGGCCGACAGTATCCATCAGCAGCCACAGCCTGCTGGCCCCTCGACTAGCACACTCTGGGGCTCCACAGCCCGCCACCAGCAGTTCAGAGAAGCCGCCTCTGAGCTGGACGGCTAGCCAACAGCTGAGGAGGCAATGCAATGGGTCATGCCCAGGAAAAGGAGAGCATGTGAGGCCAGGAGGGATGGGATGGGGGGGAGGGAAACCAGCCGTGCTGGGATGCATCCGGCCACGTGGGACCTCGGTGAGTTAGTGGGCAGCTGGTTGAAGAGGAACAGTTGCCATCTCAGGGGCATGGCACGTGTGCCCACAGAGAGGGCTCTGAGTGCCGCCTCTGGCACGCGTGCCATAGGTTCGCCACCACTGACTCCCACCAACACTGCTAGGGCAAGCCACCCTATATAAACAGAGCAGAGCCTGCTCCCTTCTAGCACTGAAGATGTTACCTAACTAGCTAATGAAACACGTGCAAAAAAAAAAAAAAAAGGCTCAGAGAGCACCAAGGACCTTCCCTGCAAACAATACATTCCACAGGACAGGGAAGGGAAGGGGCTCAACTATGAACCTGCCCTAAAACTGCGGGGGGCAGGGGAATAGTACAAGTAGTCCTCAACTTACGACAGTTCATTTAGTGACTGATTGAAGTTAGGACAGCATTGGAACAAGTAATATAAAGTTGGAAGGGACCTTGGAGGTCATCTAGTCCAACCCCCTGCTCAGGCAGGAAATCCTATACCAGGGGTAAGCAACCTTGGCTCTTTTATGACTCATGGACTTCAACTCCCAGAATTCCTGAGCCAGCATGACTCAGCTTGGAAACCTCTCCATTTCTCCTCAGCATGGCTGGCTCAGGAATTCTGGGAGTTGAAGTCCACGAGTCATAAAAGAGCCAAGGTTGCTTACCCCTGCCCTATACCATTTCGGACAAATGGCTGTCCAGTCTCTTCTTAAAAAGTTCCAGTGTTGGAACATTCACCGCTTCTGGAGGCAGGTTGTTCCACTAGTTAATTGTTCTGTCAGGAAGTTTCTTCTTAGTTCTAGGTTGCTTCTCTCCCGGATTAGTTTCCATCCGTTGCTTCTTGTCCTGCCTTCGGGCGCTTTGGAAAATAGCTTGACTCCCTTGCAGCATCCCCCTGGTCCTGTGATCAAAATTCAGACGCTTGGCAACTCATTCATATTTATGACAGTCGGAGTGTCCCGGGGAGGTCATGTGATCATCCCCTTTTGCGTCCTTCTGACAAGCAAAGTCCATGAGGAAGCCAGATTCACTTAACAACCATGTTGCTGAACAATTGCAGCGATTCACTTAACAACTGAGGCATTAAATGGGAGAAAACTCATGTTAACAACTGTCTCGCTAAGCAACATGAATTTTGGGCTCGATTGGGGTCATAAGTTGAGGACTACCTGTATTCAGCATTGCGTTACAAATGGGAAGCCATGTGCTCCTCTGTAGAATCTGCAGAGAGCCCAAGGATGCCTTGGCTGTATATAAAACCTGGGGGTGCCTCTACACCGTGAACAGATGTTGCTTTCATTTCATCCCCAGGTTTATTACTACTGCGTGGGCATAGGAGACCCTTTGGCTCTGAAGTCTTCACGGGCCCTCCGTCTCTACTCCCACCTTCGCCACCCATTGTACGTGGAATTTCTCCTTATCCTCTGGGCTGTTCCCTGCCTCTCTCTTGACCGTCTGCTTCTGGCCTTCTTCTTCACTGTCTATCTTACCTGTGCTCACAGCCTTGATGAACAGGATTATCTCTACCTCCGTGCCCAGCTGGAGAAGAAGTTCCAAATCTTCTCCCGGGAAGAGGCAGCTTATGGGGACTTATTGGCTCAAAACGGCCCCTCAGACTACAAGGGCAACTGAGTAGGAGTGAGAGAGGTTATCGATTTTGGATGCAGAGGGGGCGTCTGACTTTTGTGGGGGGGAGGTCTGACGGCCAGATCCCTGCCTGCAAAGCACTGAATAATACACCGTATCTTATCTTGATTGTGCTTTTACACATAAAGGACTTGAAGGGCTACCTCCAAAAATTTGGTATCTACTGGGCCCAGTCTCTTCTAACCCCCTAAAAGAATCTTTTCCTAAGCTCGTGTTCTCCATTGTTATGGACTGGAAGTTCATTGTCTTCAACAGCAGTGGTAGATGAAGATGTTGGGAATTTTAGTCCCAACACATTTGGAGAACGTTAAATTGGGATAGTCTGGACTGAAACACACTAAGTTCTACTAGCATGGAGGTGCTGTTTAGGATCTTATTGGAGGAAGTTGGAATGACTGATGCCTGGGTTGATCTCACCCTAGAATATTAAGGAGGTACTTTTCGATCATGAACTTTTCTCACTTACTCTAATGAGAATCCTTAATAATGATTGAAGTCTAGCTATAATTGGCCATTTTCATGGCAGCCTCTGGATTTGATGGTTGCGTGGAAGGCAAGCAGTTGATTAAACAAATGTGTCTAGTTCTAGAAAAGAAGCTTCTCTAGAATACAGCTGTATAGCATAGCAACCCCTTCTAAGTAAAAAAAAAATGGGGGAAGTGACTGCCTTTTAGCTCTTTAATGGTCTGGTCTGACCAAGAGAATGTGCAAAATGTTCCTCCTTTTAAAATTAATAGCATATTTTATTTATTTCAAATGAGCTTTTACTGCCACAATTTTTAATTATAGTATTCTAACCTCTGTCAACATGTAAATACTTATTTTTTAAAAATATTAGCAGCCAAGTGCACTTATTTTGAGGAATACGATATAAGGGGATTATAGATGCATTTCTTCAATATGATAGTAAGAAAGCACATTTATGAGTCTATGTGTGTGGTGGTTTAAACCGCCTAATTACTGTTGCAAAGGTGCCTTGCTTTTGAGGTGAAAACTTCCTTGGATCATACAAGAAAAAGCAGAAATCAAAAAGCTTTCAGTCCAAATGCTAATCTTAGTATTAGATTTCCCTAAGGGATTTCCAAAAATTTTCACCAGTGTGCTTCTTTTAAAAGATTCTTTTGATTAATGGAAATATTGCCCATGTTGGAGATTTCAGATACAGCTATCCTTGTTATTCCCTAGCATGCTGGCTTGGGAATTCTGGGAGTTGAAGTCCAGACATCAAGTTGCCACAGTTGAGAAATACAGTTATAGGCCATTGGCTTATGGCTCCCCTCCTCCCTCATCATCGTGTCATAGAGTCACATCTGGGGGCCATCCAGCAGCATCAATAGGGAGGGTCAAAAAAAGCTAAGTAAGTGGCCCACCCCTATTGTAGATGTATAAAAGGAAAGGACTTTTATCTCGATGCCTCTATGTAAATTTTGAACTCTACCCCATAGGAGGCTACTGTGGGCACCAATTTGGGAAAGTTGTGGGCAATGGAAGTCCTGCACTTTAACTGCTTAGCAGAAAAATCCTTCAACTTCCTGTAGGGAACATTACAATGGAACATATATTTTTTTATTGGGAACTGCACAGATGTGATGAATAAAGAAATAAAATAAACATGTTCCATCACTCTAGGAGTAAAATGTCTGATTCCTCCCTGTGTCAAAATGTTTATTTTGTTGAAATGCTTACTTTTGTTAAAGGTACAGGAACCTTTTACCTATAGCAGAAGGAAGAAAGTTAAAATGTGTAGGCCAGGGGTCTTCAAACTTGGCCCTTTTATGACTTGTGGACTTCAACTCCCAGAATTCCTCAGCCAGTGTGCCTGACTGAGGAATTCTGGGAGTTAAAGTCCACAAGTCACAAAAGAGCCAAGTTTGAAGACCCCCCTGGTCTAGGCAGTTGCTGCCTAAGGTGTTTCTGCTGCCTTATTTTAGTGACCTGGAATACCACCAGTATTGCTTTCAAAACATTGCTCTGCCTTTGTAAATGTATATTTTAATTCTGTATCTTAATACTAACGAAGCTTTTTTTTTAAAAAAAACTTGGATTTCAGTGCAAAATAAATGTAATCTATTTTTTTAAAAAGAGAAAACTTGCTTGTTTGCCTGTGTTCTAATGTGTCTTAATATGTTTGGTAAAAAAAATCCTTCTTTCCTCCTCCAACTTCAGTGGTGCCCTAGGGGTTGGATGCTCAGCAGAGCGTTTAATAATAGGCACACACTTCCACCTGCGTAAAAGCCCTTCCAGCTCATAAAATCCTTAGAAGTCAGGACCCCTTTGTGAAAGATGAGTCCACAACTCCTATTTGGAGGAAGAGAAAAATCTTGGTTTTCTTGCACAATGCATCATCGTCCCATCAGAGGGGAGACAGAGTCAGTGACACTGGAAGCAGGTAACTTAAATCCTGTCCTTTCTATTACCAAAGAAAACACCTTTTCTACATTCCTGTTATATCACAGAAATATTTTGAGGCTAATTTTGTATTGTTAAATGTTGTCCTTGCATTACAGGTAGTCTTCAATTTATGACCACAACTGAGCCCAAAATTTCCATTGCTAAGCAAGACCCGTTTTGCTAAGTGAGTTTTGCCCCATTTTACAAACTTTCTGCCACAGCTGTTAAGCAAATCACTGCAGTTGTTAAGTGAAACATGTGGTTGTTAAACAAACCTGGCTTCCCCCACAGACTTTGCTTCTCGGAAGCTAGCTGAGGTGGTTGCAAATGGTGAACACATCACCCCTGGGACATTCCACTGTCATAAATACATGCCAGTTTCCAAGTGTAACCTTGAACGGTCGCTAAATGAACGGCTGTAAGTTGAGGACTACTTGTAGTACATATATAGTCCTCGACTTATGACTACGATGGAGCCCAAAAGTTGTTGCTAAGTGAAACTTTTGTTAAGTGAGTTTTTGCCCCATTTTATGATTCTTGCCACAGTTGTTAAGTGAATCGCTGCAGTTGTTAGCAATACAGTTGTTAAGTGAATCTGTCTTCCCCACTTTGTCAGACGGTCACAGAAAGGGTCACGTGACCCCAGGACATTGCAATTGTCATAAATGTGAGTCAGTTGCCAAGTTTCTGAATTTTGACCATGTGACTATGGGGATACTGCAATGGTCATAAATGTGAAAAACGGTCATAAGTCATTTTTTTCAGTGTGTCACTGTAACTTCGAACAGTCACTAAATGGACTGTTAAGTCAAGGACTACCTTTAATGCAGGGGTGTCAAACTTGACAGTGTTGTGGGAATTATTTGTTTAGCAGACTGATGGCATGGGGGAAAAAAACCTGTCCTTATGTCTGGTTGTTCTGGTGTGCAATGCCCTACAGCATGGGTGTCAAACTCGCAATGTCACGTAATGTGTTGCGACTTTTTTCCCATTGCCGGCAATGGGGTGGGCGCGGTTTTAACATGGGCGCGGTTTTCCCACGGGCCGGCAGTTTGACACCCCTGCTCTATTGCATGTGAACATCCTGCTAAAAACACTCCCATCACAAACCACATTCTGCGTTATGTACCGAAAGGTTACAGACAACCAACAGCAAGTAAAGGATCGGTTAATCCTCAGCTGTAAAACGCTTTCATTGGAAACACCCATGTGTAGAAATGAGGGCTTCTTCATTCAAAATACTCCAAGCCAAGGGCGCCTCTCCTTTTCCTTCCTTGCTCTTGCAACAGTATGAGAGAGTATATATGTACAGAGCCCCAATCCCAGAGTCCCACCTGCTGTTAACTTTCATTTCAGTCTTTAGATAGGTCAAAAGAGTTGGCCCCATTTGTGTTGGCGATGGACAAGTGCCAACTCTCACAGCCACTAAGGGAGCCTTTCCTAATCTGCGGCACTCCAGGTGAGTTGGACTACACCGAGATTGCCTGTGGGGACAACGAGAGAAGCCCAACGCATTGGAATAGCCTAGGGGAAAACTGCTCAAATATGAACAGAACAAGAGTCTGTTCCATATTATAAGGGTCCCCAACCTGTGGGCCAAGGCCCACTACTGGGCCGTGGCCTAATTGCCAGGGAATTGCCAGGGAATGTGAGTGGCCGGCCAGTACACGGGCCTATGGGCACGCACACGGCACCACTTGCCTAAGCAGCGCTGCAAGCATTGAGCGTTTGCGGCCCCACTCGCATGAACCTTGCTGCAGGTGTTTGAGCCCCCAGTCACAAGCATCGCTGCGACTATTGCGGGTGTTCACATGCACACACAAGCCCCTGCCCCCCTCACAAAACCATCTCCTCTTTCCCCCCTCCCCCCTGCTTCGGGCTGCCAACCTGGAAAAGTTGGAGAATTCTTGCTATATTAGACCAATAATGCCAAAACCTTTGGGCTCCACATGCCTAAAATTCAGAAAATGTCTGACTCTGCTGCCATGTCATCACACACACACACAAAACCAAAAATCCTATTCCCTCTCTCCCCCCCCCCCATTTAGGCCTCTATGAAGAGCGACAATCAGTGGCTGTATTGAGGTTGGACCAGAGATAGAGACCTGGGCCTCAACTTCCACTCTAGCGTCATCTCTAAAACTCAAAAAGACCGTTCTTGCACCATTCCCCAAGGGTCTTGGGCAGGGGTAGGCAACCGTAGCTCTTTTATGACTGGTGGACTTCAACTCCCAGAATTCCTGAGCCAGCATGGCTCAGCTTGGAAACCTCTCCCTTTCCCCTCAGCATGGCTGGCTCAGGAATTCTGGGAGTTGAAGTCCACCAGTCATAAAAGAGCCAAGGTTGCCTACCCCTGGCCTTGGGGAACAGCACATGGTCCAGCACTCTGCAGGAACTGCCGCATGCCTTACCTCCAGGCATTGTTCCCTTTCTGTTGACAAGCCCCTTTTGACCTACCTGAGGCTACTCCAGGTTGCACAAGACCTTCATTCTTGAAGCAGCTTTAGAGTATGCTCTTCTGCAGCCTCTGAAAACTGCATGAAAACGCACCACGTTCTTGTGGGATTTTTTTGAGGCTCCGGAGGCTTCACGAGAGCATAACCCTCTCTTGAGTGAATTCCAGAGTGTCTAGTGGCCACATAAGAGCACACCCCATTCTCACATGGCCTCTGCAGCCTCCCAAAATCACGTGAGAATAGAGCATGCTTTTGAGAATAGATGTCGTTGGGTGTTGCTGAACAGTTGTGTCACCCAAAATGTCATGGCACGGGTGCCATAGGTCCGCCATTACTGCACTTAACAATTGGCGCAGATTATAGATAACAATGTATTGATTTTGAAAAGGGATAACCCTGAAGTTTTGACAGAAATTAAGCCAGTGCTGTCTTTAGAAGAACCTTGTCCTATATCCAGGCAAGCCAGAAGACAAAACATAATGACTAATGCATTATTTACCTGACAGTCGTTGTCAAGAGAATTCAAATGAGAAAATGCAACCTTGGGAAATTCACTTGGTTACACGAGCATTTCATCTGAGAATGGTTAGCAGCCGTTATAAGAAAGATAGTGATCTGTTGTCACTTTTGTTTTGTTTTATCTTGGGGTGAGAAGAGAACTTGCATCCATTTAACATTCCTGTAACTCCCTCAGAACTGTTAACAATTGATTCACACGAATGGAATTTTTCTAAGAGCACAAAGTGAACATATTGTCATTTGCCCCGTTAATCTGGTTTTATCTTGATTTTTAGTTTGACTTTTAGTCTAAAATCACACTAAAGCAGGGGTCCTCAACCTCTGCTCCATGGACTGGTACGCCAGAAACCAGGGCATGCAAACAAGCGAAGCCCCATCCGTGGGATGCAGGCAGCATTCGAAACCACACACCCACCGGTCCACGGAAAAACCCCTGTCCATAGAGCCCGTCCCTGGTGCCCAAAAGGTTGGGAGCCGCTGCACTAAAGTATACATTCATTCATTTAGCCTCATGTGGCAATCAAATGATACCTCTCATCATTTGAGACGGAAGCTTTTATGCGTATATCTTGCACTAAACTTGAGAGATAAAGTCAGATTATATGGCAGAAGCCACCATAGAAAAATCTCTTTTCCATGAATTGAACCATGTTCACATCGTATTAAATACAGTAACTACCATGGAAACCAATGTAGGTGAAATCCGCAGCAGGACTCTTACAAGGAAGGATGAACATTTCAGTCTGAATGCCAAATTGTCATGCCCTATTCCAGTGTTTCCCAAACTTGACAATTTTAAGGCATGAGGACTTCAACTCCCAGAATTCCACAGCCAGCAACGCTGGCTGTGGAACTCTGGGAGTTGAAGTCCACATGCCTTAAAATTGTCAAGTTTGGGAAACACTGCCCTATTCCATTCCATTCCACCCCATCCCACTCCTCTATCCTGCCCCACCTGGAATAGCTAGTACAGGTAGTCCTCAACTTACAACAGTTCCTTTAGTGACCAGTTGAACTTACACTGGCACTTAAGTGACTTGTTTTTCACATGACCATTGCAGCATCCCCATGGTCACATGATCAAAATTCAGTCACTTGACAACCGACTCATATTTATGACGGTTGCCATGTCCCGGGGTCATGTGATCACCTTTTGCGATCTTCTGACGAGCAAAGTCAGTGGGGAAGCCAGAGTCACCTAACTGCCATGTTACTAGCGTAACAACTGCAGTGATTCACTTAACAACTCAAGCAAGAAAGGTCATAAAATGGGACAAAGCTCACTAACAACTGTCTTGGTTAACCACAGAAACTTTGGCCCCAACTGTGGTCGTAAATCAAGGACTACCTGTATTCCCTACCCAGAGCAGGCTCCCTTTTCACTGGGCTGTGTTGGGCGGTATGAATTATAAAAAATCCTCCTCTCCAACAAACTTTTTTTTTTGCCTAAAGACGGCTCTGCTTTTGCAAAGCCTGCTGTTTCCTTGGGCATGGAGTTAATTTTGTTGAACGTGCAGGTGATCCTGGCTAGATTACAAAAGGAGGTACATTTCTGAGAATGACTCTGCCATCTCCAACAGAGATTGGACAACCATTTGTCTGAAATGGTACAGGGTTTCCTGCCTAAGCAGGGGGTTGGACTAGAACAGGGCTTTTCAACCTTT